CTCAGCGGCCATGGCTCACGGGCCTAGCCGCTCCACGGCATGTGGGATCTTCCCGGACCGGGGCACGAACCCGTGTCCCCTGCATTGGTAGGCGGACTCTCAACCACTGCGCCACCAGGGAAGCCTTATGTATACTTTTTTATGTTTAAATATTTAATCCATCTATACTTAATTTTTTTAGTATGAGGTAAAGGTCTATTGATAATTTTGCTGAAGTGGATAGATGATTACCTCAACGCTATTTATTAATTGTTCACATAGTTAACATGTTTTTGTCTGTCAGTATCCCTTCTTGAGGATAATATCCTCAATCCTTGGTGTAGTTGGCAAACTTGACCCTCTGCCTCTGTGGCAACAAGGATGAGCATGTAGTTTGACATAAAAATATTAAGAGGGACTTTCCTGGTTGTCCAGTGGTTAAGACTCCACACTTCCGCTGCAGGGGGCATGGGTTCGATCCCTGGTCGGGCAACTAAGATCCCGCATGCTGTAGGGCGAAGCCAAAAAAATAATAAAAATTTAATTTAATTTAATTTAAAAAGATAAAAATATTAAGACAAGTCTATATAATGTTGATTTCATAAGGAATATGTTAAAAATAAAATAAAATAATAGAATGAGTATGAAAGAAAAGTGTGAAAAGTCAATACTTTTTTTAATAATAGAGTTTAGTGTATGAAATCAACATTGTATGGAATTTCCACTTAAAGGACAAATTAAGCACAGTTTTGGCATTAATATCTCACCTCTTTTAAAGAAGACATACAAATTGGCCAGTAGGCACGTGAAAAGATACTCAACATCACTAATTATTAGAGAAATGCAAATCAAAACTGCAGTAAGTTACCACCCTACACCGGTCAGAATGGCCATCAGTAAAAAGTCTACAAATGGGCTTCCCTGGTGGCGCAGTGGTTGAGAGTCCGCCAGCGGATGCAGGGGACACGGGTTCGTCCCGGTCTGGGAAGATCCCACATGCCGCGGAGCGGCTGGGCCCGTGAGCCATGGCCGCTGAGCCTGCGCGTCCGGAGCCTGTGCTCGCAACGGGAGAGGCCACAACAGTGAGAGGCCCGCATACCGCAAAAAAAAAAAAAAAGAAAAGAAAAGTACCTGTCAGCTCAGTCTGCCTCTGTTTTAAGACATTCTCTCAGAAGCTTCTCCCGACAAGTTCCAATTATATGTAGTTGGCCAGAACCTTGTCACATGGCCACTCCTGTCTTTTAAAGGAGGCTGGAAGATGCAGCTTTTTGAGTAAGGGTTTTTGCCCCTAAACAAATTGAGGTTCTTGAGATAATATGTATTTTGGGAAAGTAATTCTCATTCTCTGTCATAGGGAGCAAAAGACTAGTTAAGAGACTATTGTTGGGAAGAGATGATGGTCGCTTGTGCTACAGTGGTAGTAGGTGGTGGTCGGATATGATTGGATACTTGATATATTTTGAAGCCAGTAGCCACAGAACTTAGTGCTGGGTTATATATGAAAAGAAGAAGGTGGAGAGATAGGGTGACACAGATTTCTGGTCTAATAATTCAGTAGATGGTAGCATCATTACCTGAGATGAGGAAAAACAGAGAAAAGCCAAGGTTTTGTGGTTTTTTTGAGGGGGAGGGGAGCAGGGTGGTAATCTAGAATCCTATTATATATACATTAAATTTGACAAGCCTATTATATAGCTAAGTGGAAATCAATAATACCCTTTTAGATATTTCTGAGGATACTATTTAGAATCTTTTCCAAGGGTCATCCTCCCCCTACATTCTTCAGAAATAGCTCTATTTACTCTGGGGTTAGTTCTGTTTATTCTTATTGATCCTTCACTTACATGTACTGATTTTCCTCATATCTGATGAGCTCTGTTGGCTCACTTTATATTTGTGAATGAAGGAATATGTTGGTTGTATAGGTATTCCCTGTGTGACAGGCCAGCTTCCCTGGAGGGTATATGGGGATGGAAGAGGGCAGGCAGGATGGCTGGAGACCCTACAGCATTTCCAAAGAGCCAGTGTATTTCTCTCCTGAATAGAACTTTCTTTCCTTCCTTTTTATCCCCCTTCAGTTATCTGATGTGAAAATGTGAGTGGCTGTAAGCTCTGCTTCGCTGCTGTGCCAAGGCTCAAAACTCATAGAGGGTCCCCACCTAGGCAGATTGCACATTTTCTCAGACAGCAGTTTTGATCTTGCTTGTTTTGTTGTTGTTTGTTTTGGTGTTTGGTGAGTGACTGGGGAAAGACAATACTGCCAGCAATGTATGCTCTGTTTGCACTGAGAAAGAGAACAGTGATAAAGAAGGGTCCAAGTGATCCAGCTGTTCCAAATGCAGCTTTTTAATGCTATGACAATTGCACCGTCATCTGATTCTCTTTGTATATGTTGACCTTGAATTTATTGCTTCTCAGGCCTACCTGATTTCTGTTATTTAAAGCTCTGGTTTTCTTTCTTTCTTTTTTCTTTTTATTAATTAATTAATTTATTTTTGGCTGCGTTGGATCTTTGTTGCTGCGCTCTGGCTTTCTCTAGTTGTGGCGAGCGGGAGCTACGCTTCGTTGCGGTGCCGGGCTTCTCATTGCAGTGGCTTCTCTTGTTGCAGAGCACGGACTCTAGACGGCGCAGGCTTCAGTAGTTGTGGCATGCGGGCTCACGTGGGCTCTAGAGCACAGGCTCAGTAGTTGTGGCACCCGGGCTTAGTTGCTCTGCAGCATGTGGGATCTTCCCGGAACAGGACTCGAACCCGTGTCCCCTGCATTGGCAGGCGGATTCTTAACCACTGTGCCACCAGGGAAGTCCCAAAGCTCTGGTTTTCTTGATGGGGGTTTTCCATTAAGTCAATCCATCTGGTTTCCTATTTTCCAAACTTTCTCAACTTTCTGGATCTTGGTGTGTTACCTTACTGATTTCTAGTATTCCAATGGGATTTGTTAACCAAAATTTCAGAAATGGAGACCTGATTGAAATAAAAGGTGTTTATTTGAGGTTTGTTAGGACTGCAGCCTGGGAGACACATATTCAAGCACTTGAATTGTGTTCCACTGGACTACAAAATGGGGGAGACTTATAAAGGCAAAAACTGCAAGGTTACATTTAGGTACATGAGTTGTTTATCAAGAATTATGATTGGAGCAGCCAAGCAGTAAGGGTGCTTGTTAAGTAAGGATTGGTTGGGGTCTGAAATGGTTGCATAATTACAAGGGGAGACCTTAAGACCATAAGTTTGCAGCTGGCAGGTATTGTTCTGAATACTGCTGGTGGTGTCCTTGGGTCTGGTACAGTTCAGAGAAAGTTCAGGTTTTCAGTGGTGCAGAGACCACTGAATGAGACCAGATTTTATCTGAGACAAGATGCTCAATGGCCACCTGACTCTGTTTTTGTATGCCTGAACCATGATTACTCCGTTATAATTTCAATTTGTCATCAGATTTTTATTTCGGAAATATTATTTTCTGTTAATTTACTGGAACTTTGGGAGGTAGGAGAAAGTAAACGCACATGTTCAGTCTACCATCTTGAAGCTCCTGTATTGGCTTCTTTTTTTTGTCCTTTTCTAGCATCCTGATCATTTCCCTCTCATACAACTATCCTGGATTTTTTAACTAACAAGTATTGTATGTTCATCTAATCAATAACACAGAGTTAAACAGAGTAAAAGTTAATTGCGTCCTCTTTCCTCTCCTCCAGAGTTACTCCCTTGAGAAAACAATGTTAACATTCTGTATCTTTTCATATATTTTTCCATGCTTATATTGGGGGGGGTTATTTATTTGTTTTGTGTGTTTTACAAAAATTAGATCATATTTTTTCCTCTACTTTTTCTTCCACTTCCTTGTCATACATATTTCTTTTAATTTTAATTTTCTACTAAATTCATTAAGGCAATAAACTTTCAAATGTTAGAATTTAAACTGTTTTTAAGGGAGAGTTTGGAAAATTCAGGCAAAGAAAAACAAAATGAGCAAAGGAACAGGTGTGGAAAAGTACAAGATATATTTCTAGAATTCAGAGTTAGACACATTTTCCTGGAGAGAAACTATTGTGGGGAATACTGAGATACTTGCAGAAATTATTTAGAGTCAGTGTGTGAGGGCAATGAATAACACAACATAGGAAGCTGCTGAAGATTTAAGAATAAAGTCATGTTATTAACTGCTTAATATTAATGAACACTTAAACCAAAAGTATTTCTTATGAAAGCATCATTCATTGAATTACTTTAACTAACTTGATATATAATGAACCCCCTACAAACTAAAGGAGAAAATGTGTAGGAAAGCGGTTTATAGTACTAAGTGTTCTGCAAAGAGATGGTATCAAGTTTTCTCTAAACATTATGATGTTTTCAAAGCACCATTGTCTTTCACTGAAGTCTTGATTGTGTGGTAGTAGGAGCATCAGATGAAAATTTAGGATGCCTAGGATTTAGGCTACTAATCATCTGGTAATTTAGGGCAATAATTTCAACTGCAGATTTTTGTGTAAAACAAAGAGTAGGACTTTATTATCTCTAAAGTGTCATCCATCTCTAAAATGTCAGTGGTTCTGTGATTCTATAATTGTTCCTGTACACCTTGATTTAGTACTAAGTGTTTCCTTAGGCAGTAAGTACCCATTTAACAATTACAGCTTGAGAGTCATTGAAAATGCTATCTCAGTGTAATATCAGATGCTATTTATTATCTAAAGCATTTCACAACCTTCTAGAATTAGATTACACTTGTTCTAACAGTTCTGTTTTCTTTTCCAATTTTGTTTCTGCTTAAAGTTGCTGAGCATTATTTTGATTTTACACATTCAATAGGGTGAATATTATGTCAGGGAAGCTAAGATTATATATATTTCTGATATAAATTTCTTTTGATTATATGCAAATTATGGTAGTTATGAGAAAAATACTTATTTAGTTTTTAACATGTTTAATATCTTTAATAACTATTGAAGGAATAAAATTATTTTGGGAAATATCCTTTCATTACAAGCAGTCTAAAATTAAAACTTCTCTTTTTATAAGGTGGCTTTTTCACCAAAAGAATACATTTCACCATCTTTCAAACCAGAATATATAGAATTCAAGCCAAAATATCAGGTGAGTACTGTTTTCTTATCCCAATATCAGTTATACTTAAATACTAGGTTTCTGTAATACTTTATGTAATTCAGTGGTTCCAAAGCCAGACTACCCAGTAGAAACACTCACCCATCTTTACAAAAATACATATTCCCAGGTCCCACCTCTGACCTAATGAATCTCAGTTTGGAAATGGAGCCTGGGAATCTGTATTTCTCAAAAAACAAACAAAACAAAAAAACAGGGATTCTTATGCTGTCACCTAGGTATCAATTAGCATTTGAAAACCATATGAACTAAAACAAATACTAGGCTGATTATTTCACGTTTTGCTTTTTTTAATTGGATAATAGAGAAGTTGTATGAACAAAGAGTTTGAATAAGAGACTTCATTTTCTAGGCTATTTCAATAATAGAATAGCCTGATCCCAGAGCTTACAAAACTGCCTATGGCTATTACACTGACATTTCACTGTAACTGAGAATTTTTTGTACTGTTCTCTACCATTTCTGAGGCATATATAATATTTATCAAAAAGCAAGTTTCTACTGTAACATGCTAAGGACTAGGTGGAACTCATCATCATTGTTAAAACTCTCAGATTTAAAGGCAGATGATCTGTGTTCCCAAGTCTCTCTTTAGAGAATATTTATGATACTTTTAATGGAATATCTACTGCTTGCTTTGCATTTAAAAAAAAATTACCCACATTGCTACTAAAATATTTATATGGATAGGACTTAGATTTTTTTTTTTTTTTTTTTTGCGGTACACGGGCCTCTCACTGTTGTGGCCTCTCCCGTTGCGGAGCACAGGCTCCGGACGCGCAGGCTCAGCGGCCATGGCTCACGGACCCAGCCGCTCAGCGGCATGTGGGATCTTCCCGGACCGGGGCACGAACCCGTGTCCCCTGCATCGGCAGGCGGACTCTCAACCATTGCGCCACCAGGGAAGCCCAGGACTTAGATCTTGATGTTAGCCTTTGTCTAAGCAAATGGAGCTAACACTGGAAATCGAGTTCTTAAACAAACAATTGATGAGTGCCTTTTAAGGGTTTAAAAATATTCCAGGTAGCAAAAAGCTCTTGAACACAACATAGTATCAGAATTAGGAATTTGAAAAATTTGCATTAAAATTCTCATTATTATTCCAATTTCAAATATTTTAAAATAATTAAAGTTGGTTTTCTCTTTGTAGAAGTCAGGAAGATGAATAGATAAATTGGCAGATTGCTCAAAGAGAATTAACTAAAAATTTTATTATAAATTTAAAACAAATGCGTCCAAATTTCTTACCTTTTTTTTTTTAATATTACAGTTCCAGAAATTCAACATCAAGAATGGTTTTGATCCTTTTCTAAGGAATATAAACAACAAAATGTCAGTCAGAAAAAGGAAAGACCAAGATATGTTCAAATGTAGAAATATTTTAAGTGCCGAGGTTATAGAGTATGAAGACCAAGATCCTCCTTACCCAACACATTCAAAAACTGCAAGCCCTGCTAATAAAACCTGGCCCCATAATCTTGATATCATCACAATAAAGGGTTTAGACACTAAGAATAAGTTAGCCAGTGATCCTGGTATCACTGCACTAAAGACTTCAGACCTTAAGAATAAGTTAGTCCATGATCCGGGTATCATCACAATAAAGACTTTAGACACTAAGAATAATTTAGCCCATCATCCTAGTATCACCACAATAAAGACTTTAGACACTAAGAATAAGTTACAGGAAAGGCTACCAAATGTATCTTTACCAAACTTTGAGGGAGAATCATCAATGACTGGAAAAGTAAATGTAAATAAATGTTGCCTCTCAAAATCATTAAGTCTTACTTCCCACATAGAAAATTTAAAACAATCAATGGTGCTCAAGTTAATTTTAAGTAAAAATCTGCAAGACCTTTCAAATAGATTATTTTGTACACCTGAAGTTTCTATGGACACCGAAGCAAGAAAGAAAAGTCATAGTTCTCCACTTCTGGCTCTTCATGATGAACAACCAAGTAGTTTGGAAGGCGAAGTATTTGAAAAAATTCAAGATTTAAATAGCTGGCTTTCAGAAGGAGGCATTTTAAATTCAAAGTCTCTTTTAAATGAAATAATTAAAGATATTCCCACAGATTCACTTTCAGAAGGTGGACCAGGAAATTCTCCAGAGGTAGAAAAGGAACCTGTCTCTGAAAAACACTTAGAGGCTGGTGAGATAGATTTTCCAATTAAAAAAAAGAGTAGTTTCAACAAGAAACATTTAAAAAGTGAAGTATCTAGCTCCAAACCAGATTTGAATAGCCTTGTATATGATTATGTTATAAAGCAAATATTTACTGCACCGGTCTTCTCAGAGCTGGGGAGAGGAGTGAAAGAATGGAGTGAGACACAGATAAACTCTCAGAGTCAATTACCCACAGCTTGGGAGAGTTCGCCTTCCAATGTTCTAATTCACTATGAAGAAAACAATAATGAAATAGAATTTCCGCCGGCCAAATCTGTTATAAGCCAGATAATACAAGCATTTCCTGTAGATACTCTTTTAGAATTGGGGATAATCAAAGTGATAGAATTAGATAAAGAATACCAGAAGGGTTTTTTGCTGTATACAGAGACAGCTTTTGCTGAAGAAAAGCCAAAGTATTCCACAGAGTATTATTCAGATATCAGAAGCAAAACAGAACCTCTTTCAGAGCAGAATACACCCATCATTCACAAAGAAATCACTTCTTTTAATGGAGTTGAATTCATAGACAAAGGCCAAAATAGATCCCCACAAGATTCAAAATATCAGTCGACACCAGATAAAAAAACAGATTTGCCAAGTAATGGTCAGAGGCTTGATAGAGAAGAAAATGATCTAAGTTCTACTTTAGAAAATTTAAGTAATGCACTAATGGGTAAACTTAATAACTCTGATGTAATAATGTTAAAATCCTTTTTGAAAAAGATATTTAATGTTTTTTTCAAATATAGTCAGTCTAAAGGCAGACAACCAGAAAAAGAATTAGAAAGACTAATTGAACATCCTTTTCCAAGTCAGACAGAAGACCTTGAAGAAATCGAAGAGAATTTTGATAAAGTAGACAAATTGGGGAGAAAACCTATTTTGAATCCAAAGCTGCATGTATTTCTAGAAGAACTCTCAGAGTCAGAAATAAAAAAATTTAAATCTGAATTAAGTAAACATATCCAGCATTACCTTGTAGAAAGGCTTTCAGAATCAGGATACATCACCAAAGAGGACTTACCAGAAATCTATCAAAATCTGTATTTGATGAATGAGAAAGTAGAACCAAAAGGGCAAAATATTTTTCTGGAGAAATATTCAGAAACTGTAAAAGAAATCATGTCTTTTATAAATAATTTTAATCATCATTTCATAGATAAACATTTGGAAATAAAGCTAAGATCTTTTTTAAATGAAATTCTCCAAAACTATTTCCTAAAAAACCTTTCAGACAACAGTTTATTTAAAGACGCAGAATCTGAGCCTATACACTCAAATGTATCTTCTCTAAGAGCTAAAAGTGCCTCAATATCTTTTCATGAGTTAGGACAAGATATTTCAAGAGGGAGTTTTGGTAGTAGGCTTGAAATAAACATGAAATATCCCTTAAGTAAATCTCTACAAAACTATCTTATAGCTTTATCAGAAAATGAACTCTTAGATCTAAAAGCTGATTTAAGCAAACACCTCCAGAGCCTTTTTATAGAAAAACTGTCAAAATCAGGACTAATCACAGAAAGGCAATTAGAGGGGATAAGCCAGCATATAAATTTGGTTAATTCTACTTCCACACCATTAAAATGTATAAAGCCAGATTTGTCTTTAAGAGATGAAAATCAGTTTGTGGAGGACCATTCAGAAAAGCAAAATAAATATTCAAAAATTGCTCAGAAAACCACTTTACAAAAGGTTTCTGAAGATAGACCTGTAGAAACAGAGTTGACCAAAAAGGAAGAAAAGGAACATTTTTCCTTAGAGAATATTAAATAAAGTCCATCAATAATTCAGGAACAGAAAAGATACTATCCTAAGGAAGTGAAAATACTCAGTTTAATTAAAGTACAACCTTGTTCCAACAAAAATACCCAGGCAATTCCAGTAAATAAGCCATCAGAAAGACTTACAGATACAATGCCTAAGAAACAAAGGAAAGAACACGGTTTCATGCAGTTTCCTCAAGCAGAGAACTGTGATTTTAAAACAGAGATACAAGACCCACATAGTTGGAGTGGTAAATCAAAAATAACTCAATCAAATGCTTGCTTTGAAAAGACACTGAAAATGAAGTCCCTTGACAAAAAGGAGCACAATAACACCTATAAATTGATAGTACAAGAAAAACCTGAAGCAGTACTGTCACCGTATCCAAGAATTCCTAATTGCAAGATGCCAAGATGCCAAGATGAGGAATATGTAAACAAACTCACTTTTCCTTCCAGGCAAAGTAATACTCTAACTCGCCTCAATGCAGAGGCTGGAGAGAAATCAAAATTAGAAGACTAGTATCGTCAGAGATGGAAAGGAAATAATAATTATAGAAAACAACATTTAGTAACATTTGCACATTACAAAGAAGAAATACAAACTCTTTATATAAAACCAAACAAACTCTTTATATAAAACCAAACAAAAGGTCCCTGAATCACAATTGCTTAAATATAAAGTTTTGATAGCTGAGAAAAACTCAAAACCATCCCTCTTCCCGGAAGTACTAAAGAGAGAAAATCTAAAGCCCAAGGGTCAAAAAGAAAGAGACCATGTCAGCAAACAAAAAAAGTCATTTAACAAGATAGTATATTACCAACCACACTGTCCACCACAGGAATTCTTCTAAGAAAATCTGTTCCAAGGGCATTGCTTCATTGGACTGCAAGAAGAACTATACACGTAATAATGTTTTTCTAAGTCTTTTATTTCTGTATTTGGCAAAGTTCTGTAGATAATCTAGAGTATATGTGTCTGCATGCAAGTATGTATGTAACCTTAACTGCCCCAAGATAAACAGACCTCCAAATTTTAAAAATTCTTCTGACATTCAAATATCACCTCACCTCATTCAAAGGCAATCAGAAAATCAAGGGAATGTTAACACACTTAGTGCCTTTATGTAAAATAAAGGGGACCCCCCTCTAGATCACTAATTAGAATAAAAAGCATTCTTTCCTCCAGGCCGACTCTACTGGCTGACACAGCCTGGACAGGGTACACAGCTCTGTCTACGGAAGACTGGCTATTTCAGCCCTGACTGACCCCTCAGCCAGGGGCTGTTGTGCAGGCACAACCTGTAAAACCATTGGCAGTGGCTGTATACTACAGAAAGGCTGGGATTGTCTTTTCATGCAGATATAAGTATAAATATATAGTCTTTTTGCAGATTGCTGAATTATCTTTGTTTCAGTAAAACAAACTAAGTTCATATTATGTGCCAGTTATTCTGCTAAGCCTTAGAGATATGCAAAATTTACAATCTCTTGAATTATGAATTGTAAAATTTTAATTTAGCTTCTACTCTTTTCTTTTCTCTCTCATCACCACCCCTCTGCCATCTGCTGAGAAACATGGAAATTCATATCTATTTTTAATATTAACATAAAACAATTAGGAAGGTAAATCTGCTACTAGACGTTATATAAACCATTCAAAAGCAAAGTTAAAATCTCTAGGAATGGAAGGGGCTTATTTTAATTTTCTGAAACACTGCTCTTCTCTATTGGCATATATAGATAGGCATGACCCACAGTTGGGAAAACGCACAAATTCTAAAATGAAATTATATTGATAATTTGATGTGCATAACTATCTTTGAATGAGAAAATAGATCTAATTTCAGAATAGTTGCTTTGAATTTGTTTTCCACAGCAAAGCAAATGATTACCTCTAGTAAATAGTAAAGCAGATGTGTAGCAGGGTAAATATTATCAACATACTCTCAACTTTGTATTTCTCTTTTCTAAATTCAATAATTTAATAATGAGTGTGTGTGTGTGTGTGTGTGTGTGTGTGTGTGTGTGTGTGTACAGACGAGGAAAAGGAAGTAAAAGATGGGTGCATAGTTTTTGAAAAGCAAAGACTTTCTGAAGTTCCCTCAGATAAGTGGAATCTTTATTATCACTTTTCCAAACAAAATAAGAGATTGTGTTTATGTTATATGGTGTGGGATCATATAGGATCTCAGAACCTTTATCCTAAGAATGGATAAGGGAGATAGTTATATTTACTTCCCTCTGTCAAACCAACAGTACCTAAACTTTTCTCTCTAGTAAAATTGACACCAGAGAATTTGAGAGGTAAGAGGGCATTTTTCAGATCATCAGAAAGACTCGCTCATTTGATTCTCTAAAATCCAGGAAATCTCCCAAAGCAATCAAAGTAGAAGACAGGGAAATTGAGTTGTAGGCGCTTCCAGAAAAATAACCAGTGGTGTGGGTCTCCGTGCCCTTCTGCTGTCACTCTAGTAATGTTATATCAACTGTCAAGTAAAAATTATATGTTACCAATGTAACAGAAATTCCCTTAATAATTGCTTAATAATTCCCTTACCTAATTGCTTCCATGTATATAAGATGGAAAAGGAAGAATGTTTACTTGCAAACCCAGGCAAAAATATGGACTCTTCATACCTCCTTCTTGGTAAATCTTCTCTCTCTTGCTGCCGTAATTCTTCTTAGTCCTGCCTAAATTCCTCCTACCTGCCAATTCTATTAATCTACTCCCACCTTCTCACCAAATCAAAGCAGGCCCATTCCCTTGGTGTGGCCATCTCTGCAAAGCATTAAGGGACAAACTGCTCAAACTGCAGAGGAAACTAGTTTACACTAATTTGAGAAATGACTAATAACTCCATACCCTCTTATGGGTACTTGTAGATTATTACATTTTTTAAATAAAATATAGTCATATTGTACAAATTTGAAAAAAAAGAGAAAAGGAAAACTAAGCCCATAATCCCACCACCCTAAAACAACCATCATTTAAAAAAATTATTTTGGTGTATTTCCTTCCAGTTGTTTTCCTAAATATTTTACTTGTTTAGTCTCAGAATGTACACAAAAATTTTTTATATTTTAGTATAAACATAACCATATCCTTAGATGCTGACCTCTGTATGCGTGTGTATATAAATATTAAAGAAGGTATTTATTAACTTTTAAAGAATGAATGTTTGGATGCTTTAAAAAGTATAATATAAGAGCTTATAATTTATGTTTGGGGTTGGGGAAGAGGTATTTTAGAAGAGGAGAATTATAGGAGGGCTGTCTTTGCCTAGGAGTCTGACCCCTGAGGACAGGTCCCCTAAGATTTCTGGTTTTCAGCTCATATCTTGCATACCTTTTGAAATAACAGATCCTTTGAAACAATGAGATTTTTTAAAGTATGGTTTTTAAAGTATCTGATGGCAGGCATTGAATGTAGGGTCTGAATTTGGGGACTGCCTATAAAACATTTGACTGCTCTCATTCTTTGTTGATATTACAAACTTTAGTCCTTGTAAGTCTAAAATGTACTTTTAAGAAACCTAACTCACCAACCTGATCTTTTATTTTAATATTTAGGATTGTTCGGATAGAGTTGAGGATTTATATGTAACTTCATTTAAGCATCTTGAAAAAGCAAAATCAAGAGCAAGGCTTTTAGGAAAGAGCCCAAATGATAGCCATGATCAGTTAAAATGCTCTGCAAGACCGTATACTGCTCCAGAGGTTAACAAACAAGAAAGCTACACTGGAAAATTTACAAGTCCTCGAATGGTTTCAGCAGGCTTAGTTCATATAAATGATTCAATCCCAGATTATGAAATCCATAAAATGCAGCCAAAAAAATTTAAGAGTATATTGAAAAACGTTTGCTCATTTGTGATATTATCCAGATGTTAAACAGTTCAGAATGATGTGTGAGGCCAATAGTCAGAATGTTATTTCTCCAATTAACAAAATGGTTTGGAGATCTGTCCTTTTGTGTGATAGAAGTCAGTAACCAAATTCCATCTTGTTAGAACCATTTTGTTTTAATTAAAATGAAAAAAACACTTTTGATGTAAATGTGTTTTGTTTATGAATCTTAGAGAACAACCTCAAAGATACATAGTCATTAGTGAAGTTTTATTTCCCAACTTTTCCCCTTTTTCACTATTCTCTGATTTTCCAAATCTTTGCTATGCCCTAAATTATCCCTGACCACCCAGTGTCAGAGTATCTATTTGCAGTTATGTATGTTCAGCCTTTTGTTATGAATATACTTTAACTCTTCAGCTCTAGATTCAACAGTATGCAATTCCCTGGGCCTATAGAACATCTATTAATTTCAATGTCATCTGATATTACAACTTTTTACACTATAAAGATAATAAAAAACAAGTTTCATACTACTAATTCCTGAGGCTTCTAATACACTGAAGTGACTTTCTAGCTTACTCAAAAAACTATGAGACAGCCTCTTTAATAACATGAAACTCAGGAAGAAACTGTATAAAACAAACTGCATTAAAAATTAGCTAAATCAGCATAGGATTTAAATTAAGAGACTTTTGAGAATTGGTTCTATTCTTATCAAATACAATATTTGAATCTTGCTGAACTTTGGTTCACTCTTGGGGAGTAAGAATTTCAATTTATAGAATTTTTGTCCATTTCCATTTTTCTACCATAAATCATAAAGTTTATGGAGTTTAAATAGAATTGGCTGATAGAAAACATAATTTCTGATTGTTCATTTAATGCCATAATCAAGGTAGTAATTTTGGGGGGGAGACCAAGAATTTCTAGTAATTCTCAAAGTTGCCAGTACATATATCAAGCAGAGTGTGACTGGGAAAGCACTATTACCTCTGGATCTTTCAAGTAGAAGGAACACAGGGAATTGGTTTCATGGGTGATGGAACCAAGTCTAAGAAACTAAAAGGGATGATGTGGCAATCCAGAGATTGGCAAGAGCAGAAAGTGATAGCGCCCCTCAGATAGGACATCAGGAAGAAGTGGTGTGACCAGTGTCCTAGAGCCAGAATACAAAGAAGATACAGCCACTGACAGAGACACCACAAGAAACAGGGGAGTGGGGCAGGGGGTGAGAAATAACTATGTTTTTTCTCTCTCATCCTGCTCTCTAATCTCCTGCTATTGCCTCGCTGGAAACCAGAGAGTGAGGGGGCATGGGAAATGTAGTTCCCAGTGAAACAGAGCAGAGGAAAAGTGGAGAAACGGATTTGAGAGCTAACAGGCAACTAACCAACAGTACTTATGGGGAAAACCATTGATCTAGCTTGCAGTAAAGGAAGGAAATATTTACTAGATGGAAATCTCAAGTCACTTTGCCTCATTAAACTCTTAACAGTAATATTGTGACATGGTCAAAAATTTCCTACCATGGAAATAAAATTAATATGCCAAACATTTTGCTAAACTACATTCTCGTGAATAAAACAGTATTCTCAAGGAGTCCACAGTCTACAGGGACATAAACACAGAAGTAGTTATAGTAGAGTTGTGTAAGTGTTGTTGGGGAAAGTACTATAGAAACTCATGGGAGGTCATTTTGGCCAAGGTGGCTGTGCTACTTTGGATCCTTCAGAAAGCAGATACCAAGATGAGATTAGCCATGTACGGTAGGCAGAATAATAACCCCTCCCCCACCAACATACAAACATCCCAATCCCAGGAACCTGTGACTATGTTACCTTACATGGCAAAAGAGATTTTGCAGCTATGATTAAATTAATGATCTGGAGCTGGAGAGACTATCCTGGATTGTCTGGGTGTTATCAAAAGGATTTTATAAGACAGAAGCAGAAGGGTCAATTCAGAGGTGTGGTCACTGAAACAGAAGCTGAAGTAATGCTGACCCGTGAAGCAAAAGAAGGCAGGTAGCTTCTAGAAGCTGGAAGAGGCACAAATTTCTCCTCTAGAGCCTGCAGAAGGAATGTAGCCCTGCCAAATCATTTTACAATCCTCACCTCCAGAACTGTAAGATAATAAACTTGTGGTGTTTGAAGTCATTACCACTTTGTGGTAATTTGTTACAACAGTGATAAAAAAAAATTGATATAGCATGCCAGGAGCCTATGGTGCAACACTTAAGGCATTCACTCTCAGGGTGAGGCTGTCAATATCTACTGAGATGGTTAATTTTTTGTGTCAATTTGACTGGGCCACAGTGTGCCCAGTTACATGATCAAACAGTATTCTGGGTCTTTCTGTGAAAGCATTTTTGGATGAAATTAACATCTAAGTCTGTAGACTGAAAAAACAGATTGCCCTCCTTGATGTGGTGGGCCTCATCAGTTGAAGGCCTGAACGAAGAAAAAGGCTGATCCTCCCGAGAGAGAATCCCTCCTGCCTGAATGCCTTCACACTGGGATATCAGCTTTATCCTGCTTTCGGAGTCGAACTGAAACATCAGCTCATCCTAAGTCTTCAGCCTGCCAGCCTTCGATTTGGAACTACACCACTGCTTCTCCTGGGTCTCCAGCTTGCCTACTCACCTTGCAGATCTGGGATTTGTCAGCCTCTATAATCATGTGAGCCAATTCCTTATTTAAAAAATCCACTGGGGGGATGGAGATCAAGATGGCAGAATAGAAGGATATGGAGCTCACCTCCTCCACAAATATATAAAAGTAATCTATACGTGGAACAATTCTCACGGAATACTTACTGAACGTTGGCAGAAGATCTCATACAACCAAAGCTTCACAAAAGATCACCATGTAAACTGGGTAGGATAAAAGGGGGGGGAAGTAATTGGAATGGGATCTGCACCCCTCGGAGGGAGCTGTGAAAGGGAAAAAGTTCCCTCACCCTGGGAACCCCTTTCACCAGCTAGGAGGTCAGAGGGGACAAATAGGGAGCTTCAGAGGCTCAGAAGAGAGTGTAGCAGCCAGTTTGCGGCAGGCAGGAGAGAGAGAGACCAGGACAGACAGTCCTTGCCACCTCACTGCAATTCCCAGCCCAAGACATGCAGCTGCTGAGGCTGAAATCTGGGCAGATTACTGCCACTCCTACAACGGGTCCGGGTACGCAACTTCAGTGGATTTATACCAGTGGCTTTGTGAGTGCAGTGCCTGAGGGACATCCAAGCTGATTACCAGCATTCCCCAGCTGAGGCGGGTCTGGTGCCAGGAGCAGCAGGTTTTGTGGGTGCACACAAGCAGAAGCAGGGCTGAAATCTGAGCTGATTACCAGCATTCTCACAGCGGAGGCAGGGCCGAGGGCAGTGCCAACAACAGTGTATTTTGTGAGCACATGCACTAGGTAACAGGTGATGGCACAGAGTGCCCGTCCCAGTGGACAGCCCCTGGAGAGGAATATGGCGCAGCTCCTTTCCCAGAGGGAGTGCTCCAATCCCACCTACCTCACAGTGCAGCTTAGAACTGGATCTGGGGGCTTCTATTCCAACAACTGGCAAGCAGACCCTGCTCTCGATAGGGCTGTGACAACCACAGAGCAGAGGAGGCCCTGCCCAACATCGAGTGCAAGCTCTGGTCATCACAACACCAATCATACCCCATATCAAGGGGATGATGGCCAGCTAACTCTGAGGAAAGACATGGCAGGCATCCATACCAAAAAACAGCCCTCACACCAAAAATAATGGACTCATGGAGGCTACACAGGGATGCTCCCACATAAAAACAGCCCTTTGAGACCACAGTAGATAATTGTTTCCCCTAAATTCAGAGTCAAAGAAATACAAGTGAAAAAGCAGAGGAAACACTCCCAATTAAAAGAAGAAAAATCCCCTGAAAGAACAAACAATGAAACAGACCTCTCCGGCCTGCCAGACTCCACATTCAAAAAGGAGGTAATAAAAATGCTGAAGGAATTAAGAAAGGCTGTCAATAGAAATGCAGATCACTGTAACAAGGAAATAGAAACTATAAAGAGGAGCCAATCAAAATTAGACAACTCAATTGTTGAGATGAAAACCAAACTAAAGGCAATAAAATACCAAACTAAATAATGCAGAGGAACGAATAAGTGATCTGGAAGATAGAATAATGGAAATCACCCAATCATAACAGAACGCTGAAAGACAAATGAAAAAAAAAAGAAAAGAAAGCGACATATGAGACCTATGGGCTGATATAAAGGATGCCAAGCTGTGCATAATAGGGATCCCAGGAGGAGAAGAGAAAGGGGGATCTAAAATGTACTTGAAGAAATTATGGCAGAAAATTTCCCAAACCTAATGAAGCAGATGTCCAGATAAAGGAAGCACAGAGGGTCCCAAACAAGATGAACCCAAACAGACCTATACCAAGACATATCATAATTAAAATGGCAAAAGTTAAAGACAGGATTCTAAAGGCAGCAAGAGAAAAACAAAGAGTTAGTTACAGAAGAACCCCCATAATGCTATTTGCTGATTTCTCTACAAAAACCTTGCAGGCCAGAAGGGAATAGCAAAATACATTCAAAGTCCTGAAAGGGAAAAACCTGCAACCTAGGATATTCTACCCAGCAAGATTATCATTTAGAATAGAAGAAAAAATTAAAGAATTTCTCAGGCAAGCAAAAACTAAAAGAATACAGCAATACTAAGTCTACCCTAAAAGAAATATTGAAAGGTTTTCTCTAAATAGAAAAGAAGCAAGAACCCATAGGAAAGGGAAAATCAAAATACGGAAAAGCAAGTATATAAAATGATTGTACACCACTTGAATAAGCCAGTACACAGATTAAAAAAAAAAATCAAAGAATTTTGTGAAAGCAATTATAACTACAATGAACAGCAAAAGGATAAACATGAAAATGTAAAACAGGACATCAACGTCATAAAATAGGGGAATAAGAAAATGTAGATTTTTTAGAATGTGTTTGAGCTTATAGGACCACCAGTCTAAAGCAAGTAGACACAATAATGAGTTAACATACTTGAAAACCAGTGTAACCACAAATCAAAAACATACAAAAGATTCACAAAAACCAAAAATTTGAACTCAAGTATAAAAGAAAACCAGCTGCATCATTTGCAACAATTCTGTAGGTTTTCTTTTCGTTTTGTTTATGGCTTTCTTTGCTGTGTAAAAGCTTTTAAGTTTAATTAGGGTCCGCCGCCATTTTCAATCCAGCTCCATACAATGCTCTGCCATTGTTGCGGCCACGACTCAGACTGCGTGACAGCACCCACCAGCCAACAATTCTGCCACCATGGAGGATATATATCAGTACAGTAACACAGAGGAATTCGGAGAGGGATCCAAGATTAACGTGAGCAAGAATCAGCAGGATGACAGTAAAATGTTTATTGGAGGCTTGAGCTGGGATACAAGTTAAGAAAGATCTGACTGAATATTTGTCTCAATTTGGGGAAGTTGTAGACTGCACAATTAAAACAGATCCAGTCACCGAAAGATCAGGAGGATCTGGATTTGTGCTTTTCAAAGATGCTGCTAGTGTTGATAAGGTTTTGGAAGTTAAAGAACACAAACTGGATGGCAAATTGCTAGACGCTAAAAAGGTCAAAGCTTTAAAAGGGAAGGAACCCCTCAAAAGGTTTTTTGTGGGTGGACTGAGCCCAGATACTTCTGAAGAACAAATTAAAGAATATTTTGGAGGCTTTGGAGAGATTGAAAATATTGAACTTCCCATGGATACAAAAGCAAATAACAGGATTTTGTTTTATTACATATACAAAGAGCCAGTTAAGAAATTGTTAGTAAGCAGTTATCATCAAATTGGTCCTGGGAAGTGTGAAATCAAAGTTGCACATACAGGCAACAACAAAAAGGAAGAAGATGTGCTGTAGCTGGTGGGTGAGGTGGTGCTGGAGTCGTGACTGAGGTCAGGGCCAAAACTGGAACCAAGTAATAATTATGATGATCAAGGATATGGAAATTACAATAGCGCCTATGGTGGTGATCAAAACTATAGTGGCTATGGCTGCTATGATTATTCTGGGTATAACTAGGAACTGCAGATACGGACAAGGATATGCAGACTACAGTGCCCAAGAAAGCACTTATGGCAAGGCATCTCAAGGGGGTGGCAGTCACCAAAACAACTGCCAGCCATACTACAAGGGGACATTGAAGAAAACAGGAGGAGATTGCTTGCAGGATGACATTGAAGATTGGTCTTCTGTTGATCTAAGATGATTATTCTATAAAAGACTTTCTAGTGTACAAGACACAACTCTGTCCAACTGTATATAGCCGCCAATTCGTTTTAACTTTGTCTTCTGCTGTGTTATGACTCAATGTGGATTTGTTTATACAAATTTTATTTGTATGATTTCATGTTAAACCTCAAATAAATGCTTCCTTATGTGTTAAAAAAATAGATAATTTGAGCAGGCTGATCACTAGAAGTGAAACAGAATCTGTAATTTTAAAACTCCCTGCAAACAAAAGTCCAGGACTGGATGGCTTCACTGGGGAATTCTACCAAACATACAAAGAAGAACTTATACTAATCCTTCTCAAATTCTTCCAAAAGACTGAAGAGGAGGGAACACTCCCAAAGTCATTCTATGAAGCCACCATCACCCTAATACCAAAACCAGATAGAAACACTACCAAAAAGAAAATTACAGGCCAATATCTTTGATGAATATAGATGCAAAAATTCTCAACAAAATACTACCACACTGAATCCAACAACACATACAAAAGATCATACACCACGACCAAGTTGGATTCATCCCAGGGTCACAAGGATGGTTCAACATATGCAAATCAATCAATGTGATAAAGAAATGACAAAACCACATGATCATCTCAATAGATAAAGAAAAAGCATTTGATAAAATTCA